GAGGGGGTGGCGGGGGGCGTTGATGCCATCATGAGACTCTCACGCGCCTCCCAGCACTCACAACACCCCAGGGAAGCGCGCGCGCAGCGGCGCACAGCGGCGCGAGGGCACACAGCTTTTTTCTTCTTCTTTTTTCCTCCCCCTTTTTTTTGGGGGGGGGGCTTCTTTTATGACGGAATATAAGGGTGACAATTTCATCTGCCATGCTCCTCCGAGTGCTCTCCTCTCTCTCCCTCCCACTCGAGCGCGCTGCGCGCCTCGCCGCAGCCCGCAGCGCCGGAAACGCGCGCTTATATGACGCCCCAAAACGCAGCGGATTGCGAGCAGGCGCGCCAACCACGCTCACCCGGACACAATCATGCACAACCTCGCTCACCGCGGGACACAATAACGCACAACCACGCTCAACGGGACATAAAATCAGGCACAACAAAAATCACCATCCCACACCATCGCACAACACAGCCGCAAAACTAACGCCTCAACGACACAGAATAAAGTAAATACACCCTCACCGTCACACAATCACGCACAACCACGCTCACCGGCACATCACATTCAGACTGCAATAATGCTCCTCGGCACAATCAGGCCGCACCACTCGCACAACGGCGTTGCCCTGCCACACGGGATGGTTGGGGAGGGAGGTTGGGGAGGGATCTGTGCGGTGGTGCAGAACTTCGACCCCCTACTACACCCCCCACCTCCCCTCCCCTGTGCTCAACCCGCAAACCATGGATACGACTTCACCCTGTGGCCATCGTGACGGGAGAGTCGAGTGAGGGGAGAGAGGGGGGTAGAAGGGGACCAGAGAGGCTGGGAGGGTCAGGGCTGGAGGGCGTGAGCCGGTGGAGTGAGGGAGGGGGGGATGGGGTTATTCGGACCAGCTCCACACTCCCCCAACTTACGGGCGTGCGGGGCCGGCCGCCAACTTGAGGGCGCTATTCGCCGACCGACCGACAAGTGGAGCAAGTGTTAATGCGACGGGTGGGAAAGGAGTGGGTGGGGACCCCCCTCCCCCATCTCCCCCCCATGAGGGCATGAATACACTAGTTAAGGTTCGGTTCGGCTCAGGGGACAGGGGGAGCGGAGCCTTGAGTGGCAGCAGCAG